AAAGAATTCGTACTTACGAATCTTTGGAGTTTCTGTACTTTGGAAGCCCACCCGAAAGCTGAACCTATAAAAAAAAAGTAAAAAAAGTGAAAGGGGGAAGGGGAAGGAAGGAAAAGGGAAGGAAGGAAAAGGGGAAGGAAGGAAAAGGGGAAGAAGGGGAAACAGGGAAGGGGAACGAAGGAAAGGAAAGGGGAGGGGAAGAAAAAAATTATTAAAAGTTTAAAAAAGGATGTATAAGATGATCCTTTTTTAAACTTTTAATATGCGTAATGCGTAACGCGTAATGTTTGATTAACAAAATTAATAAATCGACTATAAATCATATATGTCGAAATTTGGCCGATTTTTAATAATTTACGAAATTTGGCCGAAATGTGTGACAGATCAGCCAATTTGTCACATGACCGAAAGTTTTGATTTCGACCAGTGTAATTAAGCCTTGGATGGCTGAACAAGCCCATCAGGGAAATCTCTCTGGAATTTTATTATTCATTTTGGCAATGGACGGGATATTCTTTAGAAAATTAAAGATTTTTTGGGTAAAAGTCATACTGCTGAGTTTCTTGCTCAACAAATACAGTTAATTATTGAAGAAATTGGCATCCAAAAATTAGCGGGTATTGTAACAGATGCTGTCATTCTGCACGAAATTTAATTTCTGGAAAATTTCCACATATTCTTAACATTTGATGCATAGCGCATTCATTAAATCTTATTACAAAAGATTTGATTAAATACATATTTGCAAAAAAAATTATTCAATGGTGTTCAGTTATTGTGACATATTTTAAAAAGTCACATAGGCCTAAAGAACTATTAGAATTAAAAATTTTAGAAAAACAAATTGATGGAAGAGGATTAAAAACATATTTGAATACAAGATGGACAACTGTTTATGAAATGTTAAATTCAATTTCATGACTGGAATTGTGTCTCAAAGAAGTTGTACAACTTTTACTATTTAATTTTTTATTTTATAATAAACAAATTACATTGTTATTAATTTTAATTTTTTTTTTTATTAAATATTCTTATAGGTTATTAATGAAAACTCTACTATTATTACAAGTGAGGCAGTCAAAACTATTATTAATCGGAAACGTGGGTTTTTTAATGATGTCTATAATTTATCAAATGTTATGAAGCCTATTAGAGATGCTATTCTTAGTCTTGAAAGCAGTAATTCAACGCTAGCAGATTGCTATTTTTCTTTGGCGTGTCTTGGTCAATCAATTAACAAAATTTCTGAAAATGAAAATGTTAACTTTCGTCAGCATGCAATAAAATCTTTTAATGAACGTTTTAAAATGTATGATTTTGATGAATATCTCTTATCATATTATATTCACCCAGGTTATAGAGGTAAAAAAATTAATATTTATTATTTTAATAATGATAATATAGATAGAAAATTAACAATTTTCATAATTAATAAATAGGTTCTGGTGTGAAAGCATGCCAATATCAAAGAATTCAAAGTGCAGCTGCACGTATTTGGCAACAAATGTTAAAGATTTCTAACATTGCTGCTTACCTCAAAAAATTTAATTACACCAAAAAACAATCAGCAGAAATTCTTTTGGCGTAAATTGGTGAATTCTACTTACAATCA